TTTTCTTTTCCTTCACTTTTGACAAAGATGAATTGATTGACAACTCATTTGGAACAATTGGTCTAATCGGCAGCTACGGTGAAACATGCAAACGTGGCAGAGCCATGCTGCAGCTATATTATGGCTGTAGCACGAATGGATCGGCTCGTTAACCACGCTCTTACAGGATCATTATCACCATCATCATCATCATTATTACAGCCGTTCACAAGTCCACTGCTGAACATAGGTCTCCCCCAAAGAATGCCACAAAATACGGTCCCGAGACACCTGCATCCATTGACTTCCTGCATGTTTTACTAGGTCGTCACTACATCTAGCGGTATGAGGCTGCTACTCGAAAACCCCCATCGGTTGTCGGTTCTTCTAGCTATATGGCCAGCCCATAACCTAGCCCAAAGAATTAGTATGTTGAAACTAATTCTTTGGGCTATGTCGGTTACTCTGGTTCTACTCGGATATCTTCGTTTTTAAGTCTATCACGCAGAGAAACGCCGAGCATAGCACTCTCCATAGCTCGCTGAGCGACTTTGAGCTTCCTCATACGGCCAGCAGTGAAGGACCACGCCTCAGTTCCATAGGTCATCACTGGCAACACGCACTGATTGAAAAATCTAGTTTTGAGATTTTGAGGTATGTCTAACAAGATGTGTCGTAATCTCTCGAACGCTGCCCAGCCGAGTTGAGTCCGTCGATTGACCTCTCGGTTGAAGTTGGACTTACCTAGTCGTACTATTTGTCCCAGGTAGATAACATATTCGACAACAACTTCGATCTTAGTGCTACCAACAACTACCGGCATAGGTGTGACATGGACGTTAAACGTGATTTTTATTTTGTCCATGTTCATCCTATTACCTATCCATTAAGAAACACTATTGAGGTCATTGAGCATAGTGCTTAGGTCCTCCAGCAATTCTGCCATAAAGACTATAACGTTGGCAAATCGAAGGTGAGTGATATACTCATCATTGACGTTAATACCGTATCCTTTCCAGTCCAGTAGCTTGAAAACGTTTTCCAATGCGGCGGTGAAGAGTTTCGGGGATATAACATCACCCTGTCTTACACCTTTCTGCAGTTGGATAGGTTTCGTAATCTGGTTCTGTACTTGGATAGCCATCATACCCCTACTGTACAAACACTTCGGCACTTCTTTCCGCTGTCCACTTCGAACCGCCCAAATTTCGACGGAATCAAAGCCTTTCACATAGTCCACATACGCAAGACAAAGTGGCAGATTGTACTCTTCGGTCTTCTGTACAATTTGCCGAAGCGTATGTATGTGGTCTATGGTGCTAAAGCCTTTTTGGAAACCGGCTTGTTCGGGAGGCTGGAACTCATCGAGACTGCATGCGAGACGATTCGTAATGACTCTCGAAAACAGCACGTAGACGCTGTAGACGTAAAAATTAAAAAAAATATAATAGTCTGCGGGGTATTTTTTTTATAGAATAAGGGTAATAAACGGGCACACAGTTCACCTGATGGTAAGTGGATGCTGTGGCCCATAGAAATCTACGTTTACTACTCGATTAAGAATCAAAATGCAGATGCGTTGTGACCCCTAAGGACTAAGATGGAATGCCTCTTTGCCAGTTAAAAGGGTCTCCGGATCTCTACACTCATCATACATAACACAGCAGTGTTAAGCTGTTAATTTACGCTGGTATTCTGTGAGAGTGTGGTCCTTCCTCAGTCAAGGCGACACCCCAGTCGTGCTACAACTATACTATTAATAAAGCTGCAGCATGGCTCTACCACGTGTATATATATACGTGGTAGAGTATATATATATATATATACATAGATTATAAGTCAAGACAAAAGAAACGCAGTTCACAGGGAAATACATACATCTTGCTTAATATACATTCTTAATTATTTATGAATTACCGTCGAATTTCAACCACTGCATTGGGCGATCTCTTGTTTAATTAAAAAAAAATATTATTCTTAGACAGTCGTGTTAAATGTAGTTAAAAGAGAGTGTTATTTCTTTGCGACCTCCCTTTTTGCATCGCTTCATCTCATTACCGCAATTGCGATCTTAAAACCTCCCTACAAATGAGCGGCGCGAACCCTTCGCACCCAGCTGCGAACCCATAATGGCGTCAATTTACAAACCGCACCGAATTTCCAGCGACCACGCGAAAATGAGGCGATTCAGTTAATTTATTTTAAAAATTTGCGAGTTTATTTTACCCTGTGGAGTTACGCGTTGTGAATAATAATAATAATATGTACGAGAACGACTTTCGGTCACGGCGAACAGTCTCAACAGAGACTATCAGATAGTCTCTGTTCTGATAGATTCTATCGCGCACAGGATTATAGTGAACACGTGTGTATGTGCAATATTAGACACGCTCACCAAAAGCGTAAATATAAAAGAGTATTAGTAGTCACTAGTAGGGTGGAGACTGGCCGTACGTCTGGTTGTCCGATGGTGGAAGGGAGAAGGAGGAATTAATTTATGCAATTCCTGCGTATACTCTACAAAACCGAAAGGCTGGCTACTAACTTTTAAAGTTTTAACCAAATTCGGGTCACCAATAAGCATCTTAGCACGCCTTTTTATTGAGTCTAAAGCTGCTAGTTGGCATTTTGCAGCACTAGCCCAATCAATCTAATCCTTCTCACCAAATCAATCTCCTGGAAGCTCCTTCCATCTCATCAAGTCTTTTACCAATCCAAAAATTACTAATTCAAAAATTAAGTTCAGATCGCTGTGGATAACTGGTTTTCTTTATGCAAAATTATGCAAAAAATAAACAGGAAATCAAGAAAATTGTGTTTATTGCTGTTAAAGCAAAACGCCGGGAGAATTTTAGAAGTAATATGGTAAAAAACCTTCCATCGCTTTCTTATAAGAACAATGTAGACTATTTATATGGTGTATTATTTAACTCTATAAGCAATGAATTCCATAAAGTATTTACTTCTAAAATATTCTCGAGTAACAGTCGCAGGCAATTTAAAGAGCGAGCAAAAAGTTTATAAGAGCAGACGAAGGTTATATGAACTCTACCATGAATGATCATGCAATCTTTCCGATACATTTAGAGAATGTGTTTTTTATTTTATAGAATAAGGGTAACAAACGAGCACGTAGTCCACCTGTTGGTAAGTGAATGCTGTGGCCCATAGACATCTACATTTATTCTCGATTAAGAATCAAAATGTAGATACGTTGTTTCCCCTAAGGACTAAGATGGAAGGTCTCCTTTTCTCTACCATACGAAAAACAGTAGCATTAAGCTGCTATTTCATACTGGTATTCAAAGAGAGCATGGTCCCACCCCGGTCGATTACAACCATAATATAGCTGCAGCGTGGCTGTGCCACGTACAATTGTCAAAACAATGTGCCAAAGATTATCCTAAAATATTTAAAAAAAGTGTGCTCCACAGCCACATCTTTATATATTAGCATTAAAATAAAGACGGCTAAAAAATTAATTAAAATGACGTGGAGTATAATTAACAGCGAAACCGGTAAAGACAAACCTTGTAACAAACACAATCAAATCAAAAAATCGCAGCGGTGTTTGAGATTTCTTCAACAGTCGCCAAGTCACTACTCAAACAGAATGTTAATATCTTTTTAAAGGAATTTTCATTTAAAAAAGTATTACCATAATATATTGTAAAGTTTTAAAACCCTTGATGTAAAGAAAACCGCATATTTATATGGGGATTTTGTTACAGTTATTTCGTCCATAATCGACATAATGCACCCCATATTCGTGTTTCCTGATCAAATAAAACACATTTTTTTATTCAATATAATATATTATATGTAATTCTTATAACATAGAATATAAAAATTACATGTCTTATACATAGTAAAGTAATACCTTTATTTAAATCTGATTACATTGAACCCCGCTTATTTTAGACTTGTTTCTGTGTTACGAACGATCAGTAAGAATTATGAAACAATAATTTTGGATCAATTGTTAAAAAAATTAATACCAAAAAATTGCTCCATATAAATCAATTTGTTTTACAAGGAGTCGCTCGACGACTGACGTCGGTGTTGAACTTATTAAGTATATTTTTAATGCCTGGGAGTATTCACATGATGCCTTAGATGTTTTTGTGATCTTTCCAAGGCTTTCGATTGTGTTTATCATGTTTATCATCAGGAAACTACAAAATTACGGTGTCACAACTCAAAAATTCGATATTAATGGTAAAGTTCTTCCACATCGATAGTAACAATGGGCTTGGTGTACTAACAATTTTTGTGAATAATAAAAAAATACGAAAAATGTTTTTTGGTAAAAGCGAAAAAACTGGCAGGCTATTTGTCGTTAAAGTTATTTTATTTTATTTATTTAACAAAGGCAAATCAGTAGCATAGTAAGCATTCGTACAGAACAAATTCGAAAATACAATGTTTTGATATCATCATCGTCATCATCATCAGCCCGTAAAGTCTACAGCTACAGTAGACAAAAAGTTAAAGTTGAAGTTGAAGTTTAGGCCTCCTTTCATTTCTGAGAGGGTTTTAGGTCAAGGAAATGTCCGTCGCGCTGTCCCAATGCGTTTTGACGAACTTCAAATGTCTTGGAAATATTTTTTTTATTATTTCTCAGACATGAAGGTTTCGTAACGATGTTTTACTTTACCGAGCACGTGGTAAACTAAACATGAGTCTCACCAGTTGTGGTCAAATGATGATCGCAGTGCAGACGTCTCACACCTTTGACCATTGAGAATTTTACGTCTGACGTAAACGAGATAGTCATACCGCCATATTATATAGGCATCTATAAGATATTTATGGCGTTTTCCCACAGTCGTCTCTTGTGATACTTACGGGACGAAATGGTGTGATTCTCTTACGCTGTCACCTTACAGCACATTTTTTTGGGTGCTCTTTATATGGCTTCAGAACCATTAGCGATGAGAAATTGATAGGAATAAGATTTTTAGAACATTATATACTTAGTTGTGACTTAGATATAAGAAATAATTTAATATAATTCTTACTTTAGCTGAAGCTGTGACAGTTACAAAGAAGGGGTCGTAGTTGTTCCTGTGCCTGAATCTGTCGGAGCCGCCGCTCATTGGCAAAGAGTCTGAAAAAATATATATTATGCCGGAGCGTCAATAAAATAAAAGTTGGATTGAGGTGGAATGTAGGGTATATCGAGAAACCCCGACTTGTTTGTGCAGTATAAAGTTCACAGTATGCACCGTCCGAGAAAGATTCCGCATAAGTCATTCTACGAGTGTAGTCATACTCCTAGTGCTAAGATAGTGTCGTGGTTCTGTTCGTTGTAGTAATTCTTCTAGTGCAGACAAGGAGGATTGTTGTTGCTGAGAGGCTGCTCTGTGTTACACTGAGATAAGTAGTGTTGCTGTTGGTTTGCATATTTTGGTGTTATCATGTGATAACGTACCTCACGTTACACTGGTGTGTGAACGTGGCGGGGACGTATTACGATGTAGTCGAATTGTAATTACGCTATATTGAATGTATAGTGCGTTACGCTGTCTTATTACTGATAATGATTAATTGCATAAGCAAGAGAGCAAGTTTAACATCCGCTCTCACACTTTTATTATTTTTAACATTTAACACTATCCTGATGTATTTCCGAGATCAAAATTGGGATACTCTGCTGAATCTCCGCCATATATATATATATATGGATATTGGGATATATATATATATATATATATATATATATATATATATATATATATATATATATATATTACGATACTTTAGTTTTACAAGGTGGTAGGCCTCCATTTCTGTCCAGGTGTCCGTTTGAGTAGGTACCGCCATATTACTGCTAGGCTCTGTTCTAAAAGGTATAGAGAGTCAGTATAGTCATATGTTGTGAGGCATTCAATCTTATTCCTCAGAAATGACAACGCTTGTGTACCCACTTTCTTTGAAGTCAGCTTCAGGTGAACTTATAAGCCACATATAAGAGAGATGAGAGTTCGTCTGTCGGTTGATAGTGAAGCTTCTCTTCGCCCATATAGACCACTCATGAAAATGATTACAAAAATAATTACTAAACTAATACCGAAAATATAATAACTAAGAATAGACAACATTGCACAACAGATCTTAGTGTTTGGAAACTGATTACGATAAATTGATGAGGTATCTCAAAAACTTGCTGATGTGTTTTCTTAAATAAATACTCGTATTATTCTCACATAAAATTTTTGCATCAAAGTATAACTAAAACATTAATCAAATATGTAGACTTTTTGTATGCTGCCTTAATAAGCAGTGGTATCGGCGTAATATGTATATGTCTCAGCCTAAACATTTTTGCCGGATGAGACTGAAAAAATCTTTCGCCTCAAAGGCTTTACGAAAGCAGCATATTATTCGAGGAAAATATCTAAAAGAGAAGATGTCATTCTTCTGGTAAAAATGAAAAATATAAAATTAGATATAAATATATAGCAGAAAAAATGCAACATCGGTGTATATGTGACAAATTAATACATAATATTAATTTGTCTATAAAGAACACGCGTATATTGAATTTCCTTAATGAACTTGATACTCTTTTGAGAATGCTCTGTCGCAATACAAGAAACTAAATAATTTTGTGTGGACAAACCTTTATAGACCTTTGAAAGCAATCTAAGAAAGTAGGGAATATAATAATTGTTAGAAACTTAAAATACTCTACTATATTTCTGTAGCGAATAAATGGTAGAGTTCTTTGAAAAATTATGTCTCTGAATATATCCAATGCTATCGGATATCGCACTGACATTGTAAATTTGTAATAACTTTCGTAAAAATAGAAGCACATCATTAGCTGCCTTTCAATTAATAAAATCAATGACAGATTCTTTTAAAAACAACTTCGCTGTTTCACTACTCTTCATGGATGAGTAAGTGCTTGTTCACATTAACTCACGGACGCGGTGGCGGACGTGGTCACGAAATATTAAACACATAGCATTATATGCTGGTGCTATCGCGCGTGGCGCGCTCATGGCAGTATCAAACGTATAATGTGGTTGGTGTGTGTTCACGTTGAACTAACGGTGGAGCGCGCGATTGACTCTTGACTTCAGGTAAGATCAACAATTTTGAACTTGTCGCTACAAATTATGGACCATTCAACCCAATGGAAGTGCCAGTTCTCTTTCTTTATTAATTTCGTGCACACCAAATCTAATTTTCGTCATCTCCTACTTTAAGAATTATCGATTAAAAATAAAATTTCGTCGTCCATGTCCACAACCTCTGACAACACGTCACACTCGTGCAAACGCCTGGCGGCCAACGTTAATACGAGCTCGCCGAAACCACCGCGCCCACTGCCGTCCCCGCATCCGAGTGTTCTACGTGAACATTCACTAAGGCTAGAATGATGAGATTCGATGCTGGCATTATCTCACAAGCATTCGATTATGTCTGCATTAACGCATATTCGAAAATGTTTCTAGATAAATGGATTCACAAATAAATCTTACAAATACCTAGAATCAGAAATATGGATATAATAGAATGCAAAAGGTGAAAATAACTTTACTCAAACGCTAGAGTTATTTCAATCTCAATTTAGGTTGAATAGATATGGCATGTCTTAAGCGAGTATTTTGGGTCCATTGCTGTTCTTATTATAGGTCTAAAATTACATTGATATATATACGTACGAGTACTAAATAAACACGGAACTGAAAATATTTATAGAGTAGCTAGAAGCAAACAAATCACAAGTAAATTTTATTTTAAAAATTATGCAAATTCATACCTATGGAACAAAATCACTACATTATCTTTAGGTATTTTCTGTTCTTAAAAGGATCACGTAAATTAAATTTGTGGTACGATGAACAGATTTGTCTACCCTTGAGGTGAAATATCTAGAAACTACGTAATTACTGCATACCACAGCTCTATATCTTTCGTTCTGCGTTATGTTATATCGCACAATGGGGCCGTTGTGTAGAAATTGATCAAACTCTTGTTATGCAAAAAAGGGGAGGCTTAAGTTCGGCAATGAACTTGTGATGGACTGTGATGATGATGATGTATAACAAGATACAGTGTCAAAGACACTGCATCTAGAATATACACATAACGCTCATACTAAAACTTGAATTCAAAAAGTGGACTATTTAAATTTTCCACGCTATCCATTTTTTAAAAAGAAATTTTAATATAAAAGCAAAGCCGTTTTCAAAGAACTAAAAACATCAAGACATTGTAAAGACTGTATTAAAGCCCTATTTATAAGGCTATAATTAATAAATAAAAATAAATATTAATTTATTCCTTTTGGTTCTTTGAATTTTTATTTTTTAATAGACTTTTGTCTAATGTTTGACACCAAGGAATATCAAAGTTGGAATGTCCTTTAAATAATAACATAAAAAACTTCATCTCCTATTTTACTACTCTTTGGAGTGGAATTTTTCCTCCGAGTTTTTAGTGAACCACCCCTGAAGTAACCATTTTATACAAAAACAATCATTGATCATTTATCGAGTGACATATATACAAAAAGGAACATACAGATACACTCAAATTGAGATCCTCCTTCTCTTTTAGAAGTTACTATTACTATACTTCATAACAAAGTAAACAAATAAAAAATAAAACACAAATAGCTGGAATGTTTTTCATTAAAACCTCGAGATAAACATACGGTAATCAACTGACTTCATTTACTTACAGATCTGTTAACAGAAAGTGTAGAAAATGAAATTGGATTACTTTTGTCTCGAGGTAATTTTTAAATAAAACTAATTTTACGGATTTTATCGCGTATATTAACTTATTTTTATATTCCCGACGTTTCGGGTGCTTTCCAGCACCCGTGGTCACGGGGGACTGAGTTGTTTGACGTCCTACTGTCATAGTTAGCCCGGCTACCTTCAGTTTTTTAATATTAATTTTTGGTTCGATTTACGCAGAATGAGCTTACAGTATCTTGAAGTCTAGCAGTGGTATACTTGGGTTTGGATTTGATTTTATTAATTATGGGATCCCAAGCAGATGGCAGCACCCATCCATCCTCTCTATTGAAATTAGGATGTTTTTTAATTTCAATAGCCTCGCGAATCATCCTTGGGAGGAATCGGTGTTCTTTTGCAAGGATTTTTGGTCTATCAAATCTAATGTAATGACGGGGACGATCCTGAACATGTTCACAAACTGCAGACTTCCCGATACGTCGGTGCTTCACGTCAGCTATATGTTCTTTAACGCGGGTTTTAATAGATCTTTTTGTTTGTCCTATGTACGAGAGACCACATTCACAATCCAGCTTGTACACTCCTGCATCTTGTAGAGGGATATGACACTTGACGGATAGTAAAAATTGACCAATCTTCTTCAGCGGCTTGAAGTATGTTTTAATGGAAGCTCGCTTCAAGATGTAGCCAACCTTGTCTGTGACTCCTCTGACATAGGGTAGTACAGCAGGCACACGCTCGACTGTGGCTGGCTTCACTCGGTCACTGTGACGTAGGCGCGGGACCCGAAGCTTGTTGTCTTGCAGTACTTGCTCGACGTGCTGAAGCTCGGCGGCCAGATGTTTTCTGTCACAGATCCCTCGTGCTCTCTGAAACAAAGATTTTCCCACGGTAGCTAACTGTGAAGGATGATGGTGAGATTCACCATTTAAATATCGGTTGGTATGGGTATTTTTTCTGTACACAGTATGACCAATAGTGTTATCAGGATTTCTGATGACTAAAACATCTAGAAAAGCTAAAGTATTGTTTGCCTCTAACTCCATTGTGAATTGTATTTTAGGGTTTATGGAATTAAGGTGGTTTAAAAATGCAGTTACTTTGTCAGATGGTAAAATTGTGAAAGTATCGTCTACGTACCGCTTGTAGAATCTTGGATTTACAGGAGCAGTAAGAAGGGCTTTCTCCTCAAAGTCCTCCATGAATATGTCGGCGACTACGGGAGATACAGGTGAGCCCATTGCCACTCCGTCTACTTGCATGTAGAACTCTTCTTTCCACAATAAATAGCCAGATGTGAGGCAGTGTTTGAGTAATACTGCATATTCTGTAGGCATGTTGTTATCTTCTAGCTTTCTAGTAACAATTGAGATGCAGTCTTCAATAGGTAGGCATGTGAATAGTGACTGAACATCAAAACTGACCATAGTTTCATTGTCAGCGAGATGTAGGTCTTTAATCTCACTAACAAATTGGTATGAATCCTTTGTGTGTGCTCTGGTATGTCCTCTTAGTGGTGACAGTATTTTTGCCAAGTGTTGAGCCAACTTATAAGTTGGTGAATCGATCTGGCTTACTATAGGACGTAGTGGAGCGTTTGGTTTGTGTATTTTCGGTAACCCATACAACCTCGGTGGTTTGGCACATGATGGTATTGTCGAATTCACGTCAAGATCTAATTTTTTGGAGTATTTCTTTATTAAATCAGTGGTTGTTTTGAGTGTATTAGTTGTAGGGTCTATTTTGACCTTTTTGTATGTACTTACGTCCGATAAAAGTTGTTGTATTTTGAAATTATACTCTGACGTGTCCATTATTACCGTAGCATTTCCTTTATCCGCGCGGAGAATCGTGAGCTCGGGTCTGTTGCGTAAGTTGTACAACGCTTTAAATTCGTCTTTCGGAAGAATTTAAAGAAGAAGAATTTAAAGAATTTAAAGCGTTGTACAACTTACGCAACAGACCCGAGCTCACGATTCTCCGCGCGGATAAAGGAAATGCTACGGTAATAATGGACACGTCAGAGTATAATTTCAAAATACAACAACTTTTATCGGACGTAAGTACATACAAAAAGGTCAAAATAGACCCTACAACTAATACACTCAAAACAACCACTGATTTAATAAAGAAATACTCCGAAAAATTAGATCTTGACGTGAATTCGACAATACCATCATGTGCCAAACCACCGAGGTTGTATGGGTTACCGAAAATACACAAACCAAACGCTCCACTACGTCCTATAGTAAGCCAGATCGATTCACCAACTTATAAGTTGGCTCAGCACTTGGCAAAAATACTGTCACCACTAAGAGGACATACCAGAGCACACACAAAGGATTCATACCAATTTGTTAGTGAGATTAAAGACCTACATCTCGCTGACAATGAAACTATGGTCAGTTTTGATGTTCAGTCACTATTCACATGCCTACCTATTGAAGACTGCATCTCAATTGTTACTAGAAAGCTAGAAGATAACAATATGCCTACAGAATATGCAGTATTACTCAAACACTGCCTCACATCTGGCTATTTATTGTGGAAAGAAGAGTTCTACATGCAAGTAGACGGAGTGGCAATGGGCTCACCTGTATCTCCCGTAGTCGCCGACATATTCATGGAGGACTTTGAGGAGAAAGCCCTTCTTACTGCTCCTGTAATTCCAAGATTCTACAAGCGGTACGTAGACGATACTTTCACAATTTTACCATCTGACAAAGTAACTGCATTTTTAAACCACCTTAATTCCATAAACCCTAAAATACAATTCACAATGGAGTTAGAGGCAAACAATACTTTAGCTTTTCTAGATGTTTTAGTCATCAGAAATCCTGATAACACTATTGGTCATACTGTGTACAGAAAAAATACCCATACCAACCGATATTTAAATGGTGAATCTCACCATCATCCTTCACAGTTAGCTACCGTGGGAAAATCTTTGTTTCAGAGAGCACGAGGGATCTGTGACAGAAAACATCTGGCCGCCGAGCTTCAGCACGTCGAGCAAGTACTGCAAGACAACAAGCTTCGGGTCCCGCGCCTACGTCACAGTGACCGAGTGAAGCCAGCCACAGTCGAGCGTGTGCCTGCTGTACTACCCTATGTCAGAGGAGTCACAGACAAGGTTGGCTACATCTTGAAGCGAGCTTCCATTAAAACATACTTCAAGCCGCTGAAGAAGATTGGTCAATTTTTACTATCCGTCAAGTGTCATATCCCTCTACAAGATGCAGGAGTGTACAAGCTGGATTGTGAATGTGGTCTCTCGTACATAGGACAAACAAAAAGATCTATTAAAACCCGCGTTAAAGAACATATAGCTGACGTGAAGCACCGACGTATCGGGAAGTCTGCAGTTTGTGAACATGTTCAGGATCGTCCCCGTCATTACATTAGATTTGATAGACCAAAAATCCTTGCAAAAGAACACCGATTCCTCCCAAGGATGATTCGCGAGGCTATTGAAATTAAAAAACATCCTAATTTCAATAGAGAGGATGGATGGGTGCTGCCATCTGCTTGGGATCCCATAATTAATAAAATCAAATCCAAACCCAAGTATACCACTGCTAGACTTCAAGATACTGTAAGCTCATTCTGCGTAAATCGAACCAAAAATTAATATTAAAAAACTGAAGGTAGCCGGGCTAACTATGACAGTAGGACGTCAAACAACTCAGTCCCCCGTGACCACGGGTGCTGGAAAGCACCCGAAACGTCGGGAATATAAAAATAAGTTAATATACGCGATAAAATCCGTAAAATTAGTTTTATTTAAAAATGTGTAGTGTTCGCGTAAATATAAGAAATCGAGGTAATTTATTTAGCTGTCTGAGGAAGCTAGCTGCATGACGTACATTTTCAGTTTTTTAGAGCTCAGGGCCTAAGCGCCCACAGCAACTTTCGCACTACGCGAATAAGCCGGGTTCAATGCCGCCGGTATCAATTAAATTTAATACGTATTTTTTTTAAAGTTTAAGGGTGACAAACGAGCGCACAGTCAACCTGATGGTAAGTAGATACTGTGGACATTTCTGGACATTTATCATCAATTATAAAATCAAAATTATTATATATTAGCATTAACCTGTTATTTTATGCAGTAGTTTTAATATAAATTAATAAAACTTGATTTACTTGTAAACGCTCGACAAATTACTCCGCTGTATTATAAAACTTATTTTCTGATCATGTGAAAGTCCGTGGGGAGAGTTCAGGAGAAACTGCCGTGTTTCGTGTAACTGGGTATTATTAAACTGGCAACAAGGCTTTTCATCTTAGTGCTTTAGGGGTGGCAATGCAACTGTATTTTGATGGCTCTGTGGCGCAGTGGTACAACATTCAGTTACGGCGCTGACGGCCGAGGGTTCAAATCATCGAACAAGTGTTTATAGCATACACATATTTGTTTCATGCCTGCACGTTTGTCCTTGCGCAATGTGTCAGCAAGTCTGACTATAATAACTATAGGTCGACCTACCATTAATAAAATAGCTGAGAAGTATGTTATTGGACAACTTTATAATTTCTATGATAAAAATTATATATTGACTAATAAACAGTTTGGCTTTCAATCTCATAAAAATAACAGCATCTACAAGCATCTAGATAAGAAAAAACACATATTAGTAGTGTTCAGTAAGGCTTTCGATACACTTAGTCATGATCAACTTATAGATAGTGTGAACGATAATGGTATAAGACGACTACTGCTGTAGTGATGTAAAGATTACCTGACCGATAGATAATGTGTGGTAAACGTGAGAGATTCAATGAGCAACTTAGTAAATATATCAGTGGGCACAGCACAAGGCTCGGTAATAGGACCTTTACACTACATTACCTATGTTAATAGTTGGGTTAATATTATCAAGCAATGTGAAATTCACCAGTACGCTGATGATACTTGTTTAGTCGCGGCTGGGAGTAATATTAACGACACTCTCAACCTCCTGCAAGACGATTTTAATATTCTTATGAAGTGGTCACATGATAAAGCATTAGTCTTAAATGCTGCTAACAATAAGTAAATGTACATTAGCTCTAGTCAAAATAGGAGTAAGGTTATACCTAGGCTCATTGCGCATGACCACCAATGCCTACACAGAGGACAGGGCCCAATTACATGTAATAGCGAAGCCATAGACCTAGTAGAATCACAGGTCTACTTAGGACTCGTCATAGATGGTCGACTAAATTGAAAAGAACATATTGAGCACGTGTGTGATAAACTTCGTGGCATGCTTGGAAAATTTTCCGTAATTAAATATAATATTCCATATAAAATTCTTATACAGCAATATAAATCACTGGTGGAGTCAAAAGTAGCATACGACTTGTCTAGTTATGGCAGAACGTACAAATCTCATTTAGGACATATTTATTTACTGCAGCCACGTATTCTTAAAACTATAGTTCCGGATAATATTAAAAAACAATATAAAGAATCAGATTACCATAACCTTTTTAGCCATTGCAAAATTATACCGATACACGAAAAAGTAAAGTTTACCCTCCTTGTAGAAGAATTTTTTCATGAACAGTTAAAAATTGCCGTTACCCGTGATTACTCCAAAACTTGTATCTCGGGAAAACCTAAATTAGCCTTACCTAAATATAATAATTTATATGGTAAACGTACTTTAGAATATATGACCCCTAACCTAATTAACCAGCTACTAGGATCTGTAAAACCAGAACTGACTCAAAAAAATATTAAATTAAAATTAAAAAACTACTTTGTGGATTGCATCATAAATAATTTAAATTATAAATAATATGTATTACTAATAAATATTACGATAACGCTTTAAAACAAACATCCTGTATATACGATCCATGAGCAATGCATCCTGCAATAGCAGATCACGCACTTAAATTATAAGTGTAATTTTTTAATTCACCCTCATATTTCATATTGTCGGCGATATCGGTATACGGTAAAGTTTCTATAAACTTATGTTTGTACCGTAATGTAGTGTGTAAATAATAAATAAATAATAATAATGTATGTATGTAAACCGCCTCCGCGATACAGGAGAAAATCATAATGTGGAGTAATGTTTTTTAATAAAAAAAAAATTGATTCATTCATTCAGATAAATCGAGGATATATTACGTTGTCACTAGTTAAAAAAAAATTAAAAGGGTATACGTACGATCATATTCAATTCCAATTTTGAAATTCTTTTCCTCGAACAATTGCGGATAACACATAGCGAAAGAGTATAAAAATAAACTTATCAAAATCCCCTGCAACATTTCTTTAAATTTAACTTTGAATAGGACACTCGACACTGCACGAATAGCCACTAGATTTTCAAATGCAGGAATGTAAGATTATCCATCCCTATCTTTAGATGTCAATAGATAAGTGCTCCTTCTTCTGAGCCCAGATAATATTCAATGTGTAGTGTGTGATCAATGGAAACACGAATCGATTTCGTAAGTGATAGATAAAGATTTTATCTTTGCAACTGGAATACGACCGATGAGATATTTTAAGCGATTTTTGGAGGTTGTTTGAAACTAGGGCGTTCTATGTTTCTTTTAGATTTGTTTGATTATACTAAAGAGAAAATAGATTTGTTGTTTTTATTATCATCCTCTTAGTTTGCCGTGTATGGCGTGGTTGCGGAGCAGGAAGAATTTCAAATTATTGCTATTCATAAAAATATGGATTTTTATAACTTGAGAATAAACTCGGTTTTCGAATCACAAAAGCCGTTCAAAATGTCTTAAAACTATCTTAGTTGCAATAGAAATAAAACTTTGTATGGTGGGAAGTAAGTTTAAAAATACAAAGCTATAAATTTTTACCTTCCTCGCGACCACGCTTTAGTGGTGGTATAAGAGCATCAGTCGTGCCAAGCGGGTCTATTACTTTTTTGAAACGTTGTGCCAATAGTGCCTCAATCTAGATACAAAAATATCACATCAATACCTTTAATTATTTATAGAAGGACGGTTCAAAATAGATGAAGCTGTCCATCGAATAAAACTATTTTTACGGATTTTATAGCGTTTAATTTACTTATTTTAATTCCCGACGTTTCGGGTGCTTTACAGAAATTCATGATCAAGGGGGGGGGGGGGGGGACTGAGATGTTTGACGTCCCGATGTCACAGTTGGCCCGGCTACCTTCAGTTTTTGAATATTAATTTTTGTTCGATATACGCAGAATGAGCTTACAATTATTGGGTTGGGATTTAATTTTATTAATTACGGGATTCCAAGTATATGGTAGCACCCAGCCATCTTCTCTATTGCATTAGGATGTTTTTTTATTTCAATAGTCTCGCGAATCATCCCTGGAAAGAATCGGTGTTTTTAGCGAGGATTTGTGGTCTATCAAATCTAATTTAGTGACGGGGGCGCTCTTGTACGTGTTCATAGACTGCAGACTTTTCGGAGCGTCGATTCTTCACATCAGCTATGTGTTCTTTAACGCGGGTTTTTATGGATCTTTTGGTTTGTCCTATATAAGAGAGACCACATTCACAATCAAGCTTGTACACTCCTGCATCTTCCAGAGACATTACATTTGACTGATGGTAAAAACTGACTAATCTTCTGCAGCGGCTTGAAGTATGCTTTTATGGAAGCACGCTTCAAGATGTAGCCAATCTTGTCAGTGACACCTCTGACATATGGTAGTTCAGCAGGCACTCGCTCGACTGTGGCCGGCTTCACTCATTCACTGTGACGTAGGCGCGGAATCCGAAGCTTATTGTCGTGCAAACCTTACTTGACGTGTTGGAGCTCGGCGGCCAGGTGTTTGCTGTAACAGATATTCTGTTATTAGTGACATCTATGTACAATATACATAATATAAATAAAATTATAGTGTCTGCCTGTAAAATCGAAAAAAAACTGCCTGCCTTTTGAGCTTAGGAGGTAATTTGCATGCCCTAAAGACATAACCATAACCCACTCTAATCGAACTTATGGCTAAATTAAATGTGATGCAACTTCAACTACAGGTAGGTAGCAATCACAGGAGTAATCTAAGTAATGTTATAAACGAAAAACTTCAAGACATTTTCTCATAAAATGGAAAAATTGATAAAAAGAATGATCATTGATGATAATTTAAAAAAAATAGATTCTACCCCGAGGAAGACGGGGCTGGTTGCTAGTCTTACAGTAAAAGGAACTTATTAAAGAGCTTGTTTGTTCGTTGTATAGTCTTTTGAGATTCGAAGCTTTTGATATTGTCGTAATCAAAAGAAATCTTTTATATGGAATATCATAAGTGCTGATGCAAGATGCGCGAAAACACTTACGAATTTAAAAAAAAAACCTGTTATGCCACTAACAAGAATAACACTCGCAAAAATATTAATACCATAATATATTTTCTTACAAATAATGTGTAATTAATTGAGATTCTATTATATTCTTTTGTTTTAAATTGCTACACAACACTGCACACTACACAAATTCTGACATGACTGGTAGAGAATGTCAGACATCAACACATTCATTGTGACACACGACTCAAGACATTCAATGTCTTGAGTCGTTAAGTCCGCCCTATTTATCCTTTTTTTCTAAAAGAATGCAATAAAGGTTTTAAATAAATAAATAAATCTATAACATAAAAATGAATCGCTGAATGTGTTGCTAAGCGCAAATCTCGAGAGCAGCTGAACCGATTTCGCTAATTCTTTTTTTATAATATTCCCTGAAGAACGAAGATGGTTCTTACGGAGAGAATAATTTAAAAAATTGCCTGAAAAAGTATAAAAACAACACTTTTCTATATTCCCATACAAAAGATTCGTAATAATACTTAAAAGTCAATTTGAATTTTAATACCATACCATAAAGTTTAAGTATTAGTGGAGGGGTTCCGGGAAGGCAAAACAATTATAATTTTTATTTTTTGTCATAACGTAATTGTTGACTTATCAACTTTCTTTTTTCTTTTTTATCTTACTAGCTGACCCGGTGTCCCGAATAGCAGAATAAGTATTAAAAAAAATTGACTGTTAGGCGATACGAAGTTCGCCGGGTCAGCTAGTGCATAAATAAATAACAACGATACGTTGTTTCATCGAATTCAAATACATATTTTTTAACGTTAAAGAATCCACTACCCTATGTTATACCGTGGAAGTTAAGCATGGCAACTATGTCAAATATTCCCCTCATGACGCATTCTATTGCAGGTCTATGTTCTGACTTTTGATAGGCTGTAATGATAATCGTAACAATGATGATGATGATAGTCGTGATAAGTCAATGGATAACTGCTTTTTACGTAGGTATGGGACTTGAAGCTCGTTGTCTTGCAGTACTTGCTGAACGTGCTGAAGCTCGGCGGCCAGATATTTTCTGTCACAGATCCCTCGTGCTCTCTGAAACAAAAATTTTCCCACGGTAGCTAACTGTGAAGGAAACTGTGTGGTCCATCATCCTCACATCATCAACACAGTGACCGAGTGAAGCCAACCTTATCTGTGAAGAGTCACAGATAAGGTTGGCTACATAGAATTATTACGCATAGAAACGCAGTCCAGTACAAAACACGAGCGTTAAAATGATGCAAAGTCATTATGTTAGTGGGCGCGAGTCGAATGTGCCTACGCTCGTCACACGCAAACATACACGCCATTCAGTGATACCAGTTTCTGGCGTTTGCAATCAAATTGTGCAAATCATTATTTTTTGATTAATTTTAAAAAATCGATATAATAAAGATTACGTATTACGTACGAAGATATATTTTATGAGAATATAAAATGGAATAAAATAAACACGATAATGATGGTACTAATATAACTTAATTATACATATTTTAATGGTACAAAAATACAGACGTAATAAAATTTAAGAATATTATTAAACACAATTAATTTGCTCGAATACAATAAGCACATCGTGTAATATTTAATTTTAACCGACTTCAAAACAGGAGGAGGTTTTCAATTCGGTGTATTTTTTTAAAATGTTTTTTACCTCAGCATTCTACAATTTCTAAACCGATTTAGATTTTTTTATTTGAAAGGATATACACACAGATTGATCCAATATACACGCTAAAATTTTAATGGTTGTTTTCCCGATGTCAAATTATTTTGTCTTGGTAGTGATTATTTTATTAAAATTAGGATGCGAGAATAGCAGATTTACAATCGAGAAAACAAAACTCGAATGCGATCTCAAAACAATAGCAATATCTCGCAAGTAGGTCGGGCGTGCAGGTTAGCTTATATCGTATTACTATAATAAAGTCTGAAAAAATTTTGCTGGATGTAACTTAGTGTTACGTCTATTAGAAATCAGTGTACATACATATTGATAACCTCTCCTTTTTGGGAGTCGGTTAAAATAGACTATGTTTGGGTCTAAAATAACATCTGGTTAATGTTTGGGTGTAAAGTGACATCTGGTTAGTTGGTTAGGCGTTCTTATTAATAATATTTTGATATTGTAAATAGAAAAGCTTTTATTCAATACTCTAAAACGTAGACTTAGTCAATAAACAAAGCAATTAAAATAAAATAGTTGCGTTAAAATGGCGTCGACGAATCGCGATTAGCTGATCATTCCGTATTCGTTTTAAATAGGCACCCATTATTAATATAATGTTAACATTCAGAGAAGTAGGTATCTATATATAAACATTTGAGTTTTACACAGAGCCTTGCGATTAAACGTTTTAAACACAAATAGAAAATAAATATTTTTAAAAGTAAATTGTGATTTTTTTCCCACAACTAGCAACATTTGTATTAGGATAGCTTAGGTAAGTATTTTTTTAGTTTTACGTAGTTATAATGAATTAAATATATAAACTTGTATGTGAAATGCAGTACCATCACTTCTTTTATGTTTATCATCACTGTTGTGACAATCTTTTACAACAAAAACGGTCATTTTTACAATTTTTTGCGAGCTCTTCTCCGTAAGACATGACGTTGCGCACTGACGCGTCGCTGAGTGAACTAACGCGGTTTCGCGTTAGTTTAACTTGCTTCACTTTCCGTGCGCGTACTAGTATTATATGCGTAATAATTCTATGGTTGGCTATATCTTGAAGCGAGCTTCCATTAAAATATACTTCAAGCCACCGAAGAAGATTGGTCAATTTTTACCATGCGTCAAGTATCATATCCCTCTACAAGATGCAGGAGTGTACAAGCTGGATTGTGAATGTGGTCTCTCTTACATAGGACAAACAAAATGATCTATAAAAACCCGCGTTAAAGAACATATAGCTGACGTGAAGCTCCGATGTATCGGGAAGTCTGCA